TCCACAGGTGTCTGCTCCCTGCACACCGGTGAGTGAGAAAGAATTCACAGCATTATTATTCCCAGTGAGCAGGTTTGCACTTCCTGCTGAGAAAGGTTAAAGGGCAACCTGATTGGGATCTTCACCATGACACAAGGGCACGAGGGCGTGAAATAGTGACTGGATATTCCCGCTCTCGGCCAGTCAGTCAGTCCCGAGAGGCACACGTTTAAGGGGTATAAAGGGGAGGTTAGACACCACTGTGTCCACGTAGAGCGGGGTCAGGTGGGGTTCTTTGTCATAACCCACAGCAGAGGTGGAGTGGAGTCCTGTAGTTTAAGGGTTACAGCACTCGCATTGCAAGCGAGAGGACCGAGGTTTGATTCTCAGGCAGGGCAAAACATTGGACAAGTTTCCTGCCTATACACACCTCTGTTTATTTAGCAGTAAGTAAGAACCCGGTGGCACTTTCTGGGGGTGATAATCCTCCCCCCACCAAAAAACGAAATAAAGAAAATATGATCATTTGCGGGACATTGCTGTGCATAATTGGCTGCCACGTTTGCCCACAAAATATAGTCAGTCCATTTCATAATATATTTTGTGAAGCGCTTTAAGACATCTCAACAATATCAAATGCAAGGATTATTATATATTATTGGGAAAGAGAAAGGAGTCTGGCAAGGACGATCGGTGTGTGAGATGATCAGAATCTGGGTCAGCACCCTTTATTAACCCAAAGGCACTATCATAATTATAGTAACAATCATCTTTAATCATTTTTGCGTCTGATCTGGTGCCTACAACATCAAAACAATTCAGAGTGCCTCACAGAAAGTTGCTGTCAGGTGTTGTGTATGTGTTTTTAAGGCAATCGCGAGGTGAAGCGACTTACCTGGAGGATTATGGGAGAGACTTCCGCAGTCCTGTCTAGCTCCACATTAGCGTCAAAACTCAGATCTGATAAGGAATTTAGGAGTAACTTCTTCACAGAGAGGGATCGAGATTGCAGACTGTGGTTGAAGCAGAAAGCATGAATTTATTTAAGAGCAAACTTGATCCATTCATGAGGGGTATAGGGGAGGGTGGGTGCTCAGTTGAAACATACATAGTGATACAGCTCTAAATGGCCTGTCTTTCTCCTGTATCACTGTATTACGCAGTTAGTTCTGGGAAAATCAGAACAATTGATGCTGATTCTTTTCCATTTCCAGGTCTTAGAAATCCCTCATGCCCTAACACCTTCCTATCTCCGTCCTCCTACCCTACTCCTTTTCTCGCTTGCTCTCTCCTCCGCTAACTCAGGCTTGCTGCCCATCCCCCACCCTCGCTGTTCTGTCATTTGTGGCCAAGCCTGTAGTCATTAATAATAATTCTTGTATTTGATACAGTGCCTTATTCTGTCACTGAGACATCTCAAAGCGCTTCACAGAATATATTGTAAAGTGAATTGACTGTATTTTGTGGGCGAAATGCAGCAGCCAATTGCGCACAGCAGCGTCCCACAAACAGTCGTGGATTGAGTGACCAAATTGTTTTACCGAAATCCAACAATTGACTAACAACCAGGATCCTACTTGCTGCTAGGTAAACAGAGACGGATAGAGTAAGGAAACTTGCCTAAGTTTTTGCCTTGCCCAGGAATCAAACCCAGGTCCTCTGGTTGCGAGGCGAGCCCTCTAACCACAACGCTACAGGACAACACCCCCAACTTCTGGAGCTCCCTCCCTCACCCCCTATCTGTCCTTCAATCCAGTCTTAAAACGTATCTCTTGCCTATGGTCACTCCCTCTCCCCTGTTCGGCAGCTGACCCAGTCTTTGTCAAGCGCTCATATTATCCTACGTGAGAGGCAGAGCTTAAATGCAAGTTGTTTTAAAGTAAAGCATTGAGTGAGGGACGGAAGATTAACACATCTCTTGCTTTCTGCCACAATATGTTTCATGTTAATGAGAAGAAGTTGGATTATTGCCAGTCTGACTGCTTTCCATCCACCGCTCAGTGTGCCTGTCAGAGCACTAGGAGATGTCGGGATGGTGTGGGGGGGTGGCTGTTGACACACTGTTTCTCTCACTCTTGCTGTCTGGCTCTCTCGATCAACGTACATGTACAAAAATCTGGGCGAGTGTTACTGCACCATGAGATGTCTCTCTGTGGGCCTCATTAACACTGTCGCTCCCGCTCTGTGTGTGTCTGGGTTACAGATCCGCACTGAGGTAGCGAGTGAGCAGGGGTTCATCAGCGTGGTTCTGAATGAGGCTGGCTGCCGTCCGCTCTCACTGTCCGTGTGTGTGTGTGTATCTGTATGTGTGTTTATTTGTTTGTTTGTTTATGTGAGACACACTTACACGTTTCCCCTCCCTCGGCTCCCACCCCCAGCTCAGGTGTCCATCCACCACTTTTTAATGCACTATGCGACATCCTCTCAGTTGAAAGGCGCTGTACAAATGTATATTGTTTTATTGTCAGCGAACTTGTCTTGGTCTCCTCTCTCTTCCTGTGTGTGTGTGTCTCTCTCTGACTTTCTCTGCATTTGTCTCTCTCTGACTTTCTTTTTCTCTCCGCGTCTCTGTCTCTTGCCTTGACGTTTACAAGTTGGATTGTTTTCAGTGTATGCTGAGTGTTGGCATGCATGGTACATCTCCTGGTATGTGTGCAGCACAGGCATCACAGTGTCCCAGTGTGAAGCTGCCCCATTATAGGAACATAGAAACAGTTGGCCATTCAGCCCCACTAAAGTCTGTTCCACCATTCTATCAGATCATGGCTAATCTGTACCTCAACTCCATTTACCTGCCTTTGCTCGTATCCCTTGAAACCCTGACCTAACCAACATCTATCCATCTCAGTCTTGAAAATGTGAATGGATCCAGTATCCATAGCTTTTTGGGGGGAGAATTCCAGATTTCCATTACCCTAGAAGGGCAGCATTGATCAGTGTTGCAGGGTGCAGCTGCCCCAGTGTAGGAGGATAAAGAAAGTAAGCTTGGAACGACCCTCCAGAAAAGCCAAGGTGTATGATGTTGGTGCTGTGTTGAGTGACAGGTCGCTGAGAGTGATAATAATCCTTGCATCTGAAATATGTCTTTCACCCAAGGTGGACATCTCATAGAGCTTCACACGATTTACTATAAAGTGTAGTGACTGTGTGTTTTGTAGACAAGTTTGTGCACAGCATTGTCCATCAAACAGCCATGAAATAAATGACCAATTTTCGCTGGGGAATTGTTTTCCAGGACACGGGAGAAAGAAACACCCTTTTTTTTTTCCAATGTTAAATATTCCACGGGATCTTTAATGTCCACTTCACAGGGCACAGGCCAGGCCTCAGTTAAATGTCTCATCCGAAGGATGGTGTCTCTGATAATGCAGTGCTCCTCCCATCCCCCAGACAACTATAAAGCATGTATTCAGTGAGTTAGACTCAGACAGCCTTGGTTTATTAATCCCAGTTCAAAAGCAAAAAAGTACAATTTTAATAATGTTTCGAAATTCTGCTGCGATCTCTCCTCCGCGACTGTGTTTACGCTTTTTTCCCTGTCATTAGGGCTTTCTGGAAGGTGATTAGATCTCTAAAACATTTTATAGAGGATAAAACGCTGATTAAGAATTCATTAATACTGCAAATAGCTGCAAATGCCATCTGGTGTGAGGTTGGGACATATGTGCTGTGCCACACAAGAGGTGTCACTTCCCATAATGCAGCAGCTCAGCTCCCTCCTTACTTCGGGGCCGTGTCACTTCGCATCAAGACTTCCCTTCTCCGAAGGTAAGAGGCAGCCAAGGTGCGAGTGGCTCTCACAGCTTTTATCAATCACGTCCCCTATACGTCTGCACAGATCACCTGCTGGGGAGCGGCAGAGCTTCGCACCCTGTGGCTCGAGGGGTGTGTGAACGAGCAAGGCAGTGGCTCAGATGATAATAATAATAATCCTTGCATTTTATGTAGCACCTCATCACATCTTCCAGACGCCTCAAAGTGCTTCACAGAATATACTGTAAAGTGAATTGACTATATTTTGTGGGCGAAATATGGCAGCCAGTGGCGCATTTTTAAAAATAATTGGTTTTAAAGGGATTATTACACCCAGAAAAGCGATCCATCAATTGACTAACAATGTGCCATCTGCCTGTTTTTTTATAGATACTCACTGCGTTTAACAACAGTGTCCTGTGAACTATCAGATATTGACATCACAGGCTGTTTATCAAATTGCAGGCCTGTTCTGCTGAAGATATTAAGAGTTTGGGTTAACAATACCTGTGTTTCACCTGGGTCTAAGATCTCCTTGAGCATTGTTTGTGTTCAGTGTGAATATTCCCAGCTTTGCTGAAGCTGGGAATCAATGCAAGTTGCTGTTAATCCCCACTCCACTACCCGTTGCCTCCGCTTGACTGGCTCTGGCCTCCTGCTTGTCCCTCGAACCCTCTGTTTCACCATCGGCAGCTAGGCTTTCAGCTACTACAGCCGAGAACTCTCAGCCTCAAACCCCCTCCTTGCCCCCTCCTTCCCCATCTTCAGATGGTGACTGAAGACCTTCCTCTTCAACTGTGCGTACTGTCACCTCACCCCAGCTTGGGGTCGTGATCTGCCGCTGTCAAGCACTCTGGGTCGCTATCCTGTGTGAGGGGCGTTATATAAATGACTATGTGTTTTGAGACGTCTCACAGCGCTTCACAGAGTATATTTTGTATATTTTGTGTTCAAAAGACGGTAACCAATTGCACACAGCAGTGTCCCACAAACTGTCATGGATTGAGTGACCAAATTATTATTATTATTTTTTTTGAGGAATTATTACCCGCAGAAAAGTGATCCGCCAATCGACTAACAACCGGGTTCTTGTGCCAGGTAAACAGGTGTTTGGAGTAAGGAAACTTGCCTAACATTTTGCCCCGCCTGGGAATTGAACCCAGGTCCTCTCGCTTGCACGCGAGCGCTCTAACCACTACACTACAAGTCTCCCAAATTGAGCCAGAAGTTCCTCACTGTTTCTCTCTGTCTCTCTTTTTTCAATCCAGATTGAAACTTCGAAGCTGGAGCCTGAGATTGCGATGGCTACACCCAACCAAACCGTCTTTTATAATAAAGGCTTGTGAGCAAGCTGGGCTAGACTGAGTTTAGCTGTGCTGGGGGTTGGGCTGAGCTTGGCTGAAGGCTAGAGAGGGCACAAGAGCAAAGTTCTCAAACATGATTACTGATCAGCAGCGTTGATAATCATTTCAGAAGTGAAGTCAAACTCTTGATTGGCTTCTGTCATACAATGACAGTCAAGGTATTAAAATAGAAATAAACGCCATTGATTTTTAAGGAGTAAGAGGGGAGGGGGTCTCACTGTTAGAAACCTATATAAAAAATGCAGCCTTTTCCAGACATTCTGCCCAAAATATAAATTGTGTTGTATTTATAATAATAACCCTTGTATTTGATATAGCGCCTTATCACGTCTTCGAGACATCTCAAAACGTTTTGCAAAATGTACTGTAAAGCAAATTGACTGTATGTTTTATGTCCCCGTCCGCATCAGCGGCGGGGTCTGATGTTAAGGAGCTGCCAACAAGAGGAAAGTTAAAGGAAAGGAAGTCTTGTATTTTTACAGTGCCTTATCACATCAGAATGTCTCAGAACTCTTCATGCTAATCGCTTTCATTTACAGTAGGTGCTTTGTGGAATCCAACTCGGCAGCTGATTTCTGCAGAGTAAGATCCCTCACAGAGCCGTGAGGGGGTCAGTGCTGATTTATATCTGGGGGCTTGTGGGCCAGGATACCGGAGAAACTGCATTCTCTGCTCCCCAAAGCATGTGATTCTTTGACGTTCGCCTGAACAGGCATAAATGGGGCCTTGGTTTAACGTCTCATCTGAAGGACGGGGTCTCTTGACAATGTAGTGCTCTCTCTAACACTGAGCTGGAGCGTCAGCCTGGACTGTGCGCTCAAGAGTCCCCAACGTGGGAGCATGAACTCACAGCCTTCCAACCCAGAGATGAGTGTCCAACCAAAAAGGGCTTTATGATTTGGAACACAGGAACATAATATTGTAGTAGACACTGCAACACAGAGAGGGAGAGAGAGAGAGAGAGAGAGCAAGTAACTGAGCTGAGTTTGGGAGGGAATCTCTGAGGGATGATGTGCGTGTGTAAATGTGCCTCCAATGCCAGGCTCAGGCGCATAGGAACATGGGAATTGCTAAATGATAAAGGTCCATCTAGTTTGCCTTCGACCATCCTGGTAGTCACATGCTACAATAATGGTGATGTTGATAGCAATTAATTCTGTAATTCTGCACAATTACCTCAATTACACTGGGTGCTTTGGACATGGGACTGTGAGAAACACTTTTTATACAATAAATAATGAGCACTGAATTAGCTCAAAGATATCTACTTTGTGTGTGTGTGTGTGGAGCCCTGCGTATGTGTCATGCTATGTATGTGTGGAGCTCTGTGTATGTGTGTGATGCAGCATATGTGTGGAGCTCTGTGTGTGTGATGCTGTGTATCTGTGGAGCTCTGTGTGATGCTGTGTATGTGTGGAGCTCTGTGTGTGTGATGCTGTGTATGTGAAGCTCTGTGTGTGATGATGTGTATGTATGGAGTTCTGTGTGTGTGTGTATGTCTGTGATGTTGTTATGGATGCACACTCCACCTTACTAAGCCAGTCAAGAACCTTGGGGGTCTTGTTTGACCCTCCTTTCTACCCCACATCCATGCCATGTCCTGTTCTGCCTTCCCCACCTCTGCAACATCGCCAGGCTCCGACACTGTCTCACACCGCAGGCCGCCGAGACCCTCATACATGCTTTCATAACATCCAAGCTCGACTACGCAAACTCCCTGCTTGTTGGCCTCCCCAACTCCCTCCATAGGCTCCAGATCATCCAGAATTCTGCAGCCCAGGTCCTCTCCCGCTCTAGGCTCCGCAACCCCATCACACCCATCCTCGCCTGACTGCACTGGCTTCCCATCACACAGAGGATACAGTTCAAGATCTTGGTCCTCACCTTCAAGCCCTCCATGGCCTTGCTCCCCCCTATCTCTGCAACCTTCTAACCCCCTACCAACCTGCCCATTCTCTCCGCTCAGGGCTCTGGCCTGTTTCACATACCCCACCTCACTCGTCCCACCACTGGTGGGCAGGCCTTCTGCCACTCTGCCCCTACTTTCTGGAACTCCATCCTGCAGTCCCTCTGCATCGCCCCCTCCCTTGCCTTCTTCAAGACCTGCCTCAAGACCCTCTTTGACCATGCCTTTGATCATCCTCCCTCCCCCACTGCTCTCCATCCTCCCCAATCCTGACCCCCAGCTCGAGTCCGAAACACTGTCCAGCACCTTGGGACGTCCTCCCGACATGAAAGGCGCTATACAAATATAATTTTGTTGTTGTGATGGTGTGTATGTGTGGAGCTCAGTGTATGTGTAATGCTATATTTGTGTGGAGCTCTGTGAGTGTGTATGTGTGAGATGCTGTGTGTGTGTGTGTATAGGGAGAGACAGAATATAGTGTGCAGCGTTCTGGGACACGAGTGTGCAGGTCTGCTGTCAGGTGCACTTGGGCATTAACACTGGCCTCAGCAACCGTTTGTTTATTGTGTTAAGTCTTGTTAGATACACAACGGGTTTTTCGTCCCTGGAGGGAGACACCTGGTGGCCCCAGCCCTGAGGGGGGTGCGGGGAGATTGTGTTACCCACAGCGACGCACAAGGAATTCTCTCCATAAAATCACAGCTCAAGCAGGAGCCTGAGACAGAGAGAGCCATGACCATTCACATCCTCTCACTGGCCGTCCACACTCCCAGGTCAGTGACAGAGCAAAGCATTGTACCAGCTCATTTTACTGTATCTTGACGGGGAAAAGAAAGAGGAAGCAGTAAATAGTGTCAGTCCCTGGGTAAGGGCCAAGTTCTCTAGAGTGGAAGGGAGTGTTCCAGACCACTGCACCCCCACAGGCCCCCCACGAACTCTCCAGTCACCGAGTTCCCCCACCCAAATCCATCTCACCATTCAAAGGGCCACTCTGTTAATTGTTCAGCGATGTGCTTAGACTGTAGCCAAGGTAAACAAGCCTCTACTCTCTCAAGTGTCTTGTTAAGGTGACTAAAACTCCAGTCACTCCATACTGTCACTGGACAGATTAGTCACTCCGTGGATCCATCCCACCAGAGCTCGCTAATCCCATTTCCTGCTCTCTCCCCATCGTGTCTGTGCTGGTGCTCACTACCCCATTGGAGCTCTCTAATCCCATTCCCTGCCCTGTCGCATTTAAATCGTTTTCTTTAAATTCTTATCCAAATACCTTTTTATGTGGATTTTTTTTTCTGGACAATGGAGAAATTCTGTTCTGTGTCCCCTAGCCCCCGCCATGCCTGCGGGCTGATGATCGCTCTGCTAAGAGCATTTGGCTGCTGCCCCTCACCTGAGCCACCCCCTCCCAAAATGCCCCACTCCTACACCCCATTCTTCAGCACTCCCACTCCATCCTTCTCTCCTCCTGCCCACCCCATCTTCTTTTCCTCCTGGACCCTCCAACACCCTCCCTCTGCTCCAGCCTTGCCATCCTCCATCGGCCTCACCGCAGCACTCAGCGATAGTTGTCTCAGAGCAGCCACCTCAACTGCCCATCCCCCTCTACTCAGTTAGGCCTGCCTCCCCCCCTCCATCAGGTAAATCCCCTTCTCGCATCCACGTCCTTTCCAATTTCCCCCTCATACTCGACAGTGGTTGCCCCCAGAATCTACAACCTCCCCCACCTGTGCCTCCACTTGCATTGGCTTCCAAAATTATCTCTCCCTCTTAAGTAAAGCTCTTACTATCCTCAATCTCATCCTGGATGAGCAATTACACATCCTCGAGCTCACGGAAACCTGGCTCTCCCCCAGTGATCTCATCCCCCTCGTCGAAGCCACCCCACCTGGTTACGCTTCTCACCACACCCCTGCCCCAACCAACACAGCGGCGGAGTGGCCCTCATCTCCAAAATCTCCCTTAGTCTATCCCCCTATTCTGGCTGTCCCTTTTAATGAGCACTCACCCTCTACCTCACCCTCTCTCTCATTCAAATTTTTCCTAGTTTACTGCCCCCCCCAAAACCTCCTGGATGCTTCCTTGTGGATATCTCCCTCTGCACAAAATAATGGGCAATTTCAAACTTCATCTCAATTCCTCCTGTCCCATCTCTTCTGACTTTGCCACCCTTCTCTCCTCCCTATACGTCACCCACCACGTAACCTCCCTGACCCATAACCGTGGGCACCCCCTTGACCTTGTCAGCACCCATGGCCTTGACATCTCTGATGTCACCATCAAAGATAAGGCCATCTCAAACCACTTGCTCATCTCCCTTTCCTTTCCTATCACCTCCCCTCTACCATCTTTTTCTGCTCACTTCCCCCTGACTCAACAACCCCAACGCAACAACAACTTGCATTCATATAGTGCCCTCCACACTGTGTGGCATCTCAGAGCGCTTAGCAATGGCGGACCCAAAGGCCAAGACGGGGAGGGGGAAGGTGACCGTATGTGCGATTGAAGAGGAAGGTCTTCAGGTGCGGCCTGAAGATGGGGAAGGAAGGGGTGAGGCGAAAGGGTTGAGGGAGGGAGTTCCAAAGTTTCGGGACATAGTGGCTGAAGGCACGGCCATCGATGGTGGAGCGGAGGAGTCGGTGGACATGGAAGAGGCTGGACCCAATAGAGCGGAGGTAGCTGGTACTGCTATGGGGAGAGAAGAGGTTGGAGAGATAGGGGGGTGCAAAGGAATGGAGGGATTTAAACACTAAAGTGAGGATCTTGAAGTCGATCCGGTCTCTGACAGTAGAGTTTGGCAAGGACTGGAGGAATCAGTGTACGAAGTTTGGTGCGGGTGAGAATGCGAGCGATGGAGTTTTGAATGAGCTGAATTTATGAATAGTGGAGGAGGGGAGACCGGTGAGGAGGGTGTCCAACCGAGAGGTGACAAAGCCATGGACAAGGGTTTCGGCAGCTTTTGGGGAGGAGACGGGCAATAGGCAGAAGTGGAAGAAAGCGGTGCTGGTCAGGGACCGGATGTGGGGGAGAAAAAATAATTGGGGATGGAACCTGACGTCTAAGTTGCACACGGGTTCGGAGAGTTTTAAGGACAGGTCGGGTAGGTTGAGGATGTTGGAACCGTGGGACAGAAGACATCGACGGGAGCCAAAGACAAATGGCCTCTCATCCTTGGACCTTCTCTACCTCTGCACTTCCACCCATAGTGATCCAGACGCAGCTGTCAAGCTGCTAAACGATCACCTCCTCAACCTTCAATTCCTTTGTTCCCCGAAAACCAGGTCCATCTCCAAGCCTACCCGCTTCCTCTGGTCCAACAGTCATCTCCGCTCCCTCAAATCCCAAACCAAGTCGCTTGAGCGCAGGTGGCACAAAACTGGCCCCGCAGTTCACTGCCAACTGTGGCTCCAGCATCTTCATACCTACATCCACTCCCTCTCTCAAACCCAAACCATTTTATACTCACAGGACATTCTCAAGGCCAAAAACAACCCCAAAATCCTGTTCTCCATGACCCAACACCTCCTCCAAGACCCCTCTCAAGCACCCATCTCTCCTTCCTCCCTATCCCCTACCATCACACCGGTGAAGCCCACCACCTGCTGCCTTGACTCCCTTCCCATCCAGTTTCTGGTTACTCAAATCCCCTTCCTCTGCTCACTACTCGCTGATACAATTAACCAGTCTTTCTCCTCAGGCTCTGGCCCACACCCCCTCAAAACCACTGTCATCACTTCTCTCCTTAAAAAACCTACCCTCAATCCCTCCAACCTCACAAACTTCAGACCCATCTCAAACCTGCCCTTCCTGGACAAAGTTTTGGAACGCATCATTGCAAATCAACTTGGCTCACACCTCTCCATCACGCCCTGCTCGAACCCCTCCATTCCGGTTTTCACCTTGCCCACAGCACAGAGACAGTGCTCATCAAAGTAACAAATTACTTCCTCTCTCTCTCTCTCTCTGTGACAAGGGCTCCCTCTGTCTCCTCGTTCTCCTGGACCTCTCCCCTGCGTTCAACACAGTTGATCACCCCATCCTCCTTCACTGTTTCTCCTCCCTCATCCACCTTAGTGGGACCGCACTCGCATGGTTCGAGCCCTACTTAAAAAACTGCCAACAATACATCTCGGCAAATGATTTTTCCTTCTGCCACCGCCCAGTCACCTACAGGATATTCCAAGGCTCCATCCTTTGCCCCCTTCTGTTCCTCATCTACGTGTGCTCCCTCTCGGTGATGTCATCCGCAGACACGGGGTCAACTTGTTTTCAAATCTATTCATGCCCTCGCACCTCCCTACTTATCCTATCTGCTTTCCCCCAATTCCACCACCCACTGCCTCCAC